GCGGAGGCTGAGCTGTTCAGCTTGGTGTTTTTTTTCAACCCCCCCTGTCTTTAATTCATGCCCTACCTGGATGTGCTGGGATCCCTCCCCCTAGTTAAGAGGATGCAAGTTGCTTTATTTCTGCACTGTAAAAAGCCACCCGTCTCTATCGAAGACGGATGCAGACATCGTGCTGCTTATAAAAGGGGGGAGACCTCGGTGTGGTTTTAAAAAGGGGGGGGGGGGGGGGGGAGTGTCTATAGCCTACCCTTTTGGAAACCCATGCAGATAGTAAATGCAGCGAGCTTGTGTGTATGTAACATGTAACACATCCCTGCCTCTGTGTTGAAAAGAAATCTGGAAACTCCAGTTCACCGTTTTCACGTGGCGGCGCTTTCTATCCACCCTAGCACTAGATCTGCTGCAACAACTGCCTGGTGCAGCCTGTGGGCACCAGGTGAGGAGAGCCTCGCTGCCCCAAATCTACGGTCGAACAGTCTCGTGCTCTTCAGGGGCTTCCTGACCGGACACTAACGTACCCGTCAGTTCTAGGCTGCAGTGGAGGCAAGGAGGTGCCCCTGGGTGAGGGTCTGATGCCTGGGTGAGCGGTGGCCCCTCCGCTTAGGGAAACGGGAAGGCTGGGAGCGATGCCCCGTTGGAAGAGCTGCAGTTGCACCCAACACTAATGGGGCCGTGAGGGTCAGTTCCTCTTCACTACAGCTTTACAGCAGGGCTGTCTCAGTGCAGGTCCAACACCGCTACAGAAACACCGGGATGCCGTATGCATCTTGGTTTCCAGCGGGGCAAGGACAAGCCTTTCAAACGATTGTCTGCCCAGATTTTCCAGAGCGCTGCTCATGCCAGCACTTACTCTGCAATGGGATTGCCTTTCTGGGGTTTTCCAAGCTACTGTCGAAGAGGCGCTCCCATTCCCAAGTAAATGCGTGTGCGGGGGCTTGTTCCAGAACCGCCATTCTCCTGAATTCACGCTGACCTGATTCCTCGTCAACTTGTACGTAGAGCTTAGCCTAAGTGTCGCCTCCATGTAGAACAGGGATCCTGCCAGTAGTATGTAGAGAAAGATTTACTACAGCGCTGCTCTTGCTTTGAAAAATACAGCCCTGTCTGCCATAAACTGACAGTGCCCGCAGCTTGGGCGAACGGCACCGGGGCTGCACGTCCTGTCTGCTCTCAGACCGCCCTGCTGTTGCCTTGCCAAGCCCCCCCAGCAGCCGCGGGCGGGAGGCTGTTGCCTGTTGGAACAGGGGCCAAATGCTGCTGCTTGCGTCTCTTTTAAGGGGAGTTTCTGTGGAAAGGCTGCTGCGAAGGCAGGCGATGGCTTAGAAATAGGGAGCTGTGTAGGTGGTAGCGCACGCACAGCCCGGGATGCTGGCTGTTGTAGCAGAAGAGCTGAGGGCAGGGAGCGCCAGCGGGCAAAGCCTCCTGTAGCAGATGATAAAGCTTTTCCATTTTTACTGCAGTTTAAGCAGACTCCGACCTACCTGCATGCCCGGGGCAATGCTAGTGCAGCCCCCCGTGTGTGCACGGCCTTGTAAATCAGTGCCTGTTTCCCAGTTTGCACCCGCTGCCCTCCAGTCCGCCTGCGCCAGAAGGGCACATGCCGGCGGGCTCCATAGGGCCCCTGGCCTCTGATGGGGCCGAGCTCTGTTGAACACCTGCTCGTTCACTTTACAGCCTAATTTAATCAAATTCCTTAGCCTGGAGGAGGAAGCTGGGAGGTAGCTTACCTTCAGCTGAAACCACAGCCCTCTCCCCTCTGCTCCCTTTCTCCAGCGCTACACCTGGGCGCAGCCGTTTGGCTACACCATCTAACGCGACCTTCAAAAATGTATTCTCTTCACCCTTCCTGGGATGCAAACGGGGAGAAAGGGACTTAATGTAATTCCCAGAGACTGTAAATGCTCCTGACTTGATCGCAGCCAGTAGCAATTCTGTGCGTCTTCCCGGTTGACATTTGCCACTAGGGAGCACGCTGAGACGAGAGGATTTGGGCCACAGACTCCCATTTACACAAGCAAATTCCACTTCCCCCCACTTCTGTTTGCATGGCTTGCGTCAGGTTTGCTTTCCAGATCCGAGCGGGTTCAGCATGGCAGGGGCTGTCTCGCAGCGTGCTCCCCAGTTTGTCTGCAGAAAGCAGCGTGCTGCAGTAGGGAACGCGCTTTAGTGCCATACCTTCAGCATAAGTAGTGCCTGCCTGCAATGCCAGAGGGTGGGGGTTCGCCCGACGCTCCCAGGACGTTGCATGAAGTACAAGGGCAGCGCTGAGAGCACGCACGCAGTAAGCACGTGTGCGACAAGGGCCCGGCTGGCACAGAGGCTCCGTTCGGTTGGGTTTTTCTCGGTTGTGCGTTTCCAGCTGGCGCTGGGCTGCTGCTTAGTCTCCTCCTAATTGCATAACAAACCATTTTGCTTTGAGAGAAGGACCCAAGAGCCCCCCGCCCACCCCGGTTTAGGAGAGCAAGTCTTGCTAAGAGCCTGTTCCACCGGGAAGCCGGTCGTATTGTTGGTGCAGCCTCAGACGCGCAGCGCAGCGCGGCGTGGAGGAAAGGGAGCGACTCCTCTGTGTTCATGTAATAAATACCTTGGGCAGCATGGCACGTCTCCACGCTTCCTTCCTTCCTTCCCTGACCCCGGCAGACCGAAAGGTGCTTCCTCACATTTGTTCCCTCGCCTGCCGCGGTAGCCTCACGCCCCTGCCTGTGCCCGACCTACTTCAGTCAAGTTCATCTGAACGAGCCCATGCATCTGTGTGCCGGAGACCTTAAGAGGACGGCCTCCGCCCGGGAGCCAGGAAGGGCCAAATCGCATCCCATCTCCTATGGCGAAAGGGGCAGTGCTGGGGGGGGGCTCGAGCCCATCTCCCAGCAACCGCAGCCCCGTCTTTATTCCAGTTTTGCCTCCGCTGTGCCAAGGGCAGTGGAAACTGAAGGAAGCTGCAGGTGGAGAGGGGTGGGTGGATGCAGCAACTCTCAACGCTTGCTTCCTGGTCCCCAGGGGAACGTGCTCTCGGCACCTAACGTCCTGCTGAGGCAAAGGTGCCGGCACATGAGACTCCTCTCACCTCCAACACGTTAACGGCTTGCCAGTGCACCAGATGGTTTGGGCAGGAAAGGGGTAGCAGCCGCCTTGGCATGGCGGGGACCAGCCCCGGGGTCACGGCCAGCTACCACCTACGTGCTGGAGCTCAGTTGTGGACCCAGGCAGGCCACTAGTCCCCAGTGCTCCCAGCGAGAGCCTCCCTGTTCTGAGCTACGAACTGCCTCCCGGCCAGCTCCTACCTGCTCGCGTCCGTGCCTGCGCCATCCTTTACCTCCCATCCGGGCGGGAGAAAAGCTGTGTCTTTTCAGAGAGCAATCGTCTACCCACTTAGCCTCCAGCTTTCCAGTCCATACGGGCCAGGTGTGCACCCTCCCCTCCTAAGCCAGGCCCTCCACCATCCCCGCCTCTCTCCCTTGTTTCAATAGGACTTCACCCCTCGGGAACACGAGGGACCAGGACCGTACGCTGGATCCCAGGCGCGGCCTGAGCAGCGCTGCGTGTAATGGCAGTAGTATGTTGGGAATGCCTCTCCCCATACATGCTGGCATCCCATTTTCTTTTCATGGCTGCACCACGTCAACCAGTTAGCCCACCTGCTCCCCTCACCTCCGCCAGCACTGCCAGCTCGGGGAAGCAATGCTTGTTACCTTGAATCCCCCCAGCTTCCACTCATCCAGGTCCCGAGGTCCCCCCGTACGGGCAAGGCCTCCCCGCTCAGCCATCAGCAAACGTCGCTGGTGACACCTGCTTTCTGCCCTCCCTCGAGCTATTGCAGAAAGCCGTCCCAGGACCCTGCCCTGAGGGTCTCTGTTTGCAGCCTCCCTCTGGCAAAGCCCGGTGCCCCCCGTTCCCACCTCATTTTCTGATTCCCGTGCCTGGCCAGTTAACTACTAATCCCCTGGGAAGCATCCTATCAAGCGCTTTCCTGACGTCCAGGCAGATCAGATCTAGGGCGCATCCTTTGTCTAGAAAACGGGTCATCAAGCAGAGATTGGGTTAGTCTGATGGGATCAAACTCACGTTGCGTTTTATCCCCTATTTCCCTCTGCATCTTTCTTGCCTTGCAAGCTTGGTGTGAAACCTGGAGCTTACTGAGATCAGATAGAGGAGCCTGTGTTACCAGGATCGCCTTCACGCCAACCCCCTTCTTCCATAGATTGGCTGCTCTCCCGTCACCGGCTCCACCATCCAGGCTAGAAAGTTCACAACAAAGACAAACCCTTGCGACCTGGCTTTGCTCTTCCTCGACGTTCCCGCCCCAACAGGATGGAAGGGAGCTCGAGCGATGCCCCCAAGTGAAACCGCTGTCACTTGCAAGGGCACGAAGCAGCCCGGAGAGATCTCGCCCCTCCAGGGAACGCAGGGCGTAAATCAGCACCACGAGGCCGCGGGGAACTCGTCAGGGACGCGCCCGGCTAAGCGAGGACTGACGGTACGGGGGGCAGGTAGAGAGCCATTAAACACAACCGTGCACGGCGATGCAAGGGGCTACAGCACGGCCTCTCCCCAAAGCCGTGGCTCTGACACCGGGTACTGGCCAGGAATAAAACAGGGCGTTTAAAGGTACCACTTGGTCTGCGCATGACAACTGCAGGTGATGCCAAGGGCCTGAATTCCCCGACGTTATGGTTCCCGCCTGGCTCCCGCTGGTGCAAGACAACCCAGGACCAGACCGACTGCAGACTTGGTCACTTAGGAAGATGAACCTGCCCAGCTGGGCCGGAGCCAGCCAGCGTCGAGCAGGCACCCGCCCCGAATGCAAGCGCGCCAGGACAGCGATACAGAAAAGGCCTTTAATCACCTGTGGCTCGGAAACTAAAAGTCAGGCACAAGGCCTGATAAAAGTCACATGGATAAGTCAGGGCGTAACTGCCCGAAGAGACGGAGGGGTCCAGGCAGTGTCATGGCTTCCTTGTGTCTTGGTCCAAGGCTGGAGGCAGTCGTGCCCCAAAAAGACGTGGCAGTGGGGATGTCGATGGCTCCGTAGTTAACAGCAGGATGGAGGGAAGCCGATGGTGCCACCTGACCGGCCCCTGGGTGAAGACGCAGCACATGCACAGGACGGCGCCTTGGGCCTCGGGAGCTCCCAGCGCTCGCCCGGCTCCTGCGGCAGAAGCTGGTCCTCTTGCAGCCAAACCAGACTGAACGCCAGGGCGCTTGGGCGTCATCTCGGGCTCCGGCTCTACTGACACCAGCAGACATGTGCTCAGCACCAAACCTTCCCTGCCAACAAGCCAGGGGACTGCACAGGACGTGGAGCTGTGTACGCCGCTGGGAGGAAAACTCTGCTAGCTACAACCCTGCGCACGACCTGATCCCAGCCCGGGGAAAGGCCAGAGCAACCTGCACTAAACTGCTCCACAGCTATCACAGGATATTAGCCGAACACGATGTGCAACAAGGGAAGTTGAGGTTAGATATTAGGAAAACTTTTCTTGCTAGGAGGGCGGTGAAGCACTGGAACAGGCTCCCCAGAGCGGTGGTGGACTCTCCATCCCTGGAGGTGTTTAAGCCCCAGGTAGACAAAGCCCTGTCTGGGATGATGTAGTTGGGGCTGGTCCTGCTTAGAGCAGGGGGCTGGACTGGATGTGACCTCCTGAACTCCCTTCCACCCTCCTTGTCTATGATGTAAATAAAGCAGGAGGGTCAAAGCCAGTGACAGACCGGGGTTGGTCTTCACCCATTCAAACACTGCTCTAAGAGCCTGGCATGTCCCAGGAGATGAAACAAACGCCCCTTCCAAGAGGGTGAAATCCTGGCCCCAGGGGCAGCAGACGGGAGCTTTGCCTGGGACTTTGCTGGGGCCAGGACTTCGCTCAGAGTACTGTGCAAGGGGTTTAAGACGGTTCAAGGCAGGAAGAACCCAGCGGCCATGTGAGGCTGCGCTTTCCTGTCCCAGCAAGGGCAAGGAAGGTGCAGAGCTGGGCAAAGGGTCCCTGGACTTACAGCAGAGCCCATGCTGCCCTCAGACACCCTGCCAGCGATGCGGGGCCATGCTCCAGCCCCCCAGCACTGCTGACGCCTGTGAAATTACTTGCGTGGCTGGGCATGGGAGGGCCCCTACCTTGTTAAGAGACTGGCTGCGATGGGGCTGGAAGGGGGGGAATATTACGGTGCTCAGCAATCCCCCACACTGCCAGCTTGCTGGAGAGTGGCAGTGCACGGGTCCTCCAGCACAGCTGACAGGGGAGGGAGGGGATGAGGACTGTCGCCAGAGCCCCCAGTGCCGAGTCCACTGAGGAGCCTGGAAGCCCGTCTCTAACCCGAGATTCAGCACCATGAGCCGAGTGCGGCCGTACCCGCTGTCATGGAGAAACCGCCCCGGATCACAGGCAGCGACGGGGACTCTCTCCTGCTCAGCGTCAGCACTGGGACCGCTGCACTGGAGTCTCCCAGCACCGAGACCTGCCCCTATCCCTGCCTTCCCTGTGGTCCTTCATACCCCCTTTCAGCTCTGAGTCCTGCCTGGGTCTCCAGTCCTCCAGGCAGCACTCCAGTGGGACCCTGCCCATCCCAGCCCTTATCTGGCAGTGGGTGGAGGGCACCCATCACCCCCAAAATGGAAGTTTCTGCATTGCCACCCACTCCTGCTGCTCCAGATGGGGGCAGAGGCAAGGCATGGAGTCCCACTGGCCAGGCACAAAGCCACTGCCAAACTGGCCAAGCATTTCCCATGGGAGTCCCACGGGGTGAAATGCTGCCCTAGAGACCTCACTCAACCAGCTCTCTCCACAACTCAATGCAAGCAAGTTGTTCGTTCCCCTGTTGTCCGCCTCTGTTGTAATCCTTCAAATATAAGAAACATTTTAAAACGAAGTATTCCTTCCAAAAATGCCCGTGTCCTAAACCTGAGTTAAAATGTAAACAGTGAAAAGCTTTCCTGTGCCCTGCCATGGCTGTGCCCTTGTCAATTTACTTTACTAGGATATTTGATTTGGGTTTTTTTGGCTGCATTGGAGAGTCGGAACATCTGTCTCAAATTCCAGGGGATCTTATATTTGAAGGACGACAACGGGGATGCGAACCCGGGACTCCATGCGCCTGCCTGAGCAAACCCACCTGGCACTGCTGCAATCACCTGTCTCTACGAAGCGCCTGCCGCCTCCTGGAATGAGTAAATCTTTGCCTGGCAAGTATTGGGGCATTTCACAGTTGAATCGTAAGCACCTGGATGCGGTGACCAGTAACACCGCTGGCCTCTGCTGCACCGGACGGCATGGAGGCGCACCGCACTAGACACAGTTGGCAAGAGGCAGGGTCCCCAGAAAGGGCTCCGAAGGGGTCTCAGATCATCTTGATCTCTCGCGAGCGACCCCGAGTCAGGACCTGGCGCTGGGCCTTCACCGCCTGCAGGCGCCGGCCCCGCAGGTTGAACTGGGACCAGCTGAGGAGCTGCAGCAGCGCGCATGTGATGGGGATGATGACGAGGAGGTAGAAGCAGCCTTGGCGCAGGGTGGGCTTCCAGGCCGTGCCGGACTCGAGCTTCGGCTGGGTGCTCATCACGTTGCTCACAGGGTCCCGCTGGAAGATGTCGTAACCTGAGGCCGAGAAAAAGGCTGTGAGACTCGTCTGTAGGCACCAGAGCCTCTGGGCGCTCTGTGGGAGAGGAGGCAGGGTGGAAAACACTGGACATGCCCTATTCGTTCTCTCCTTCAGCAAGGTGGCCTGAATTTCACCTCGATTTAAATCACCAAGGGGCAAGCCGCCAATCTGCCCATCACCTAGACTAGATGTGGCCTCTGGAGGTGCCTCCCAGCCCCGCTGCGCTAGGATCCTGTGCCCCGTCGTCCCCACCACGCCGCAGGCAGAGGTTTTCTGCCCCGGCTCTTTCCTTCTCTGGAAAAGCACACAGCGTGGGACTCCGTTTTGGAAAAAGGCTGGCGGACTCTGTACATCGATTCTTTAATTAAATGGTTTAAAAATGTTGCAGTTTCAGCCTGGAGGCGTTCTGCGTTACCTTCAGATCTCATGGTAAAAGCGTCAATTTTAAGAAAAATATTATGAAAGTTTTCATTAAACTATCCAATGGGAGGGAGGGTCAGTGATCAGCCCTGTCCCACAGCAAACCACTACAGCCACTTCCCAGTTGCACTGGTCTCCCATTGATCCTGACCAGCCCTGACCTCAGTTAGGCAACCGGCTCTGACTGCATCGCCAGCCGGGGGGCGCAAAGCACATGGAGCATTAACGTGCATCTGCTGCTGGGAGCAGGATATCCTGCAAGCCTCCTCTTCGCTGGCTCCTGCCCAAATGCCATGTCACAGAAGCCAGCAGACAGCCCCAACCAGCCTGCATCCCTGGGGAGCAGCATGCCACGTCACTCACCTGTGTAAGCACACAGCAGCCAGGTGCCAATCAGAGGGGCAAAGGTCTGGCCTGGCTTGGTCACCAAAGCGACCATCCCAAACAAGAGGGCCGAGGCCGCCTGCTTCCTGCGGTTCAAGACAAAATCCTCGTCCACCAAGTCGGTGACAACCAGGTTCAGCAACTTGCAAGTCCCTTCAGTGAAGACCCGGTTGCTGTGGGAGGCAGCAGAGAGGTTTCAGGTGGAAGCCCGGGGAGCATTAACAGAGCTGGGCTGAGCATGGGATGTCAATGGCACAGTGAGAAATGTAACCCTGATCCCAAAGCAGCCCCCACGAGCATCCTCCCATCACTAGTGTCTGCCTGCACCCCACGAGGTCCACGGCCTCTGTGAGCCCCCTGAAGGGAGTGAGGACAGGAGGAGACGCAGTGAATGTACCCGTATACAGTGCGTATGCACTGGCTCACTCCGCTGCCACTTCCCCCCACGCTATATTTTTCAGGTCTTCCGGGTGCAGCCTGGCAAGACGGCCCCTCACCCGGAGACCCAGCACGAGCCAGTGTTTGGAGCACCTGCCCCAGCACCTTCCTGCCATGCCTCAGATCCCCTGTCCATAAAAGGGAGAGAAAACCACCCACGCTCCCACCCAGTGCTGACAGGTGCCCCCAGCACGCCGAGTGCAACCCGAGACAGGCCCCACACCTGGCGATGAAGATGCAGAGCAGATGCACCTGGTCAGGTCCTGCCAAGAGCATGACCACGCTGAGCACCAGCTTCAGGAAGAAGAGCCCACGCACCACAGCGTAAACCCCCCATCTTTGGCACAGAGACAGGAAGTAGAGGTTGTTGAGATGAGGAGCAATGTAGGAAATGCCTGGGGGGAGAAAGACACACAATTGACTCAAGGGGCTTTCTGCACCATGCAGACACAAGGCTCAGCTCACCCACACTTGGGGGTTCAGACAAAAGCTAGCGATCCCCCCTCATCACCTGCGTGGAGTGGAGTGCATTTGATGCTAACAGAAGCATTCAACCCTGGACAGCACACTCCACGGGTCTTCATAACTCCCCAAGAGGCAGACTGAGTCTGCCTAGTCTGAGTGCCTAGTCCACTCAGACACGCCTAGTCTGAGTGGAGAGAGGGAGGATCCGAGGTGATCAACTTATACAACATCACCCAGGGAGCTAGGGTTAGAGCCACGCTGGGAACGCTGACTCCCAGATCCACACTGGAACGACCAGACTCGGCTCAGACGCTAAGAGCACGGGAGGAAGTCAGACAAGGTGTCTGCACCAAGCCCCTCGCTCCTGGCCCGGGACGGACCCCTGCATCCCTCCAGAACCTGCACTGCTGACCCCGTCTGCTCAGCTGGAGATGTTTCAGCTACAACCAAGAGACAGTGACTGCGCTCCGGTTCTCGTCACCCCCCCAGTCTAGATTTAAACCCAGGTTTGCAAAGACAAAGAGCTCCCAGCCTGTCTCCCACAGTCACTGCCACAACTGTGACTCTAGCCTAAAGCCAAATGCCCGGCTTGCTCCCTCCTGCCTCCGAAGAGGAGCAAATACTGGTTCTCTTGAACTTACAAAACAGGGGGAAATTCAGGGACTCAACGTGGTGGCAGCAATGGTCCCAGCTAGGGGTCGGAGGGCAGGTTAACCCCGAGAGGAGAGAGCCCATGTTTGGGAAAAGGGCGCTCAGTGCTGAGCTGGCTGCCAGCCCTGCAGCTAGACAGTGTTACGTCCAGGGCCCATCTCAGACTCACCCAGCAGGAAGGATCCTGTGGACACAGAGATCTGGTCAGACAGCAGATGTTCCAGGAAGAGAGGGAAGAAGTTGCTGTTGAAGTGGCAGTGAAATACCTGTGAAAACAAGCGTAAAGATGATCCGACCAGCGTGGGGCAGACTAAGAAGAGAAACTCTGGGTTCTGTTACCCTAGAGCAAAAACAGAGAGATTCGTATCCGAGCTTCTTGCATCACAGAGCTTTGTGCCACATTGAATCATAGAAAAATGAAGGTTGTAAGGGACCTCAGGACAGTCCAACCCCCTGCTCCAAGTGGGGCCAGCCCCAACTACATCATCCCAGACAAGGTTTTGCCTACCTGGGCCTTCAAAACCTCCAAGGATGGAGACTGCACCACCGCTCTGGGGGGGTCTGTTCGACTAATTCACCACCCTCCTAGTGAGAAATTCTTTCCTAATATCCAACCTCAACTTCCCTGGCCGCAGCCTGAGCCCATTGCTCCTTGTCCTGCCATCTGCCCCCACTGAGAACAGCCCAGCTCCATCCTCTTTGCAGCCCCCCTGCAGGGAGCTGAAGGCTGCTATCAAATCCCCCCTCAGTCTTCTCTTCTGCACCCCAAAGCAGCCCAGGGCCCTCAGCCTCTCCTCACCAGTCCTGTCCCCCAGCCCACAACCATTTCCATTGCCCTCCACTGGACTCTCTCCAACGTGTCCACATCCTTTCTGTAGCGGGGGCCCACAGCTGGACACAGGACTCCAGATGTGGCCTCCCCAGCGCCGAATAGAGGGGAAGAATCACGTCCCTCCATCTGTGGGCACCGCTCCTACCCATGCAGCCCAGGATGCCGGGCGCCTTCTTGGCACCAGGGCACACTGCTGGCTCCTGTTCAGCTTCTTGCCCCCTGCCCCCCAGGCCCTCTTCTGCAGAGCTGCCGCCCAGCCAGTCAGTCCCCGGCCTGCACCGGTGCAGGGGATTGTTCTTTCCTAAGTGCAGGACTTTGCACGTGTCCTTGTTGAACCTCAGGAGGTTACTCTGGTTGAATCCTCCTATGTGCCTAAGTCACTCTGAATCTTAGCCCTATCCTCCAGCATATCTACTACTCCTCGCAGCGCAGGAACTTGCTGACGGTGCGCTCCATCCCATGAAATCCAGACCTCCCAGACAGCCAAGCTCAATGTCCCACATGAAATATCTGTGAATCATCCAAATTAACACTTTTCCTCAGAACAATCATGGGTAATTCATCTTAATTGCCATTTAAGCTAGTTTAAATGGCTGTGCCACATTTGTTTTGGTGCCAGCCATATCCTGGTCTAATAATTAACCCAGTGCTTTATTTTTAGCCTAGGTATCCAGTGCCAGGGCGCTGCATAGGTGGGGTGGTGTATAGCAGGGATGCCAGCGTCACAGGTGCCCTGCTATCATGCTAACAAATGCAGTGCTATCAGCAGTTATCTCTGCAAGTCACCAGCTACGCCCTCGCAACCCACAAGACAGACAGGCACTAATAAGGAGCTGTATCCAGCCCAGTCCTGGTGGGGAACTATGCAGCATCCTGTAGGGAGACCAAGGGCTTGCAGAGGCAACAGGAACTGCAGTGCTGCAGGGAAGCTTGGGAGAGAGCCTGTCCTTGTCGCTGACCCCTGGGGGTAACCAGGATAAGCAACCCAGACCCGTGATGAATGGAGCACAACCCTCAGCTGGAGAGAGGGTGGATGTGACATGGGCCTCAGGAATGCATGGGAGGAGGCTCCTTTGTGCACACATGGGAAGGCCAGAGGACGGTGCTTTTCCAAGCTGTAACAGCTACGTGATCCCAGAGTGAGGGTTTCCCCAGTCATTGTCTCCGCACCCCTGCCCACCCGCAGCCACATGGAAACCATAAGGCTGCAGCGTTCCAGCTAGTCTGTGTGGGATGGTCTCAGAGCTTGCAATAGTCAAATCCTTTTCCCAGCAGAGCAGCAGCTTGGTCTACACTTTACTGCCCTCTGCAAGCAATGGAGAGAAGAGCAGGTTAACGAGAGGGAGTGCTCTCAGGTCACAGGCATGGAGAACAGGCCATGAGTCACACATAGCGGGGCAGGAAACCCCACAGACTTATGCAGACACCACTGCTTTCCCTCTGGAAGAAC